TTTTTTTTTTTCTTTTTAATATTTTAAATGTAGGTTTAGTGATTTTTTGATTAAATATAAAATAAACAATAAAAAAATTATCAATAATCAAATTCGATTATGTTCAATAATAATAAATCATTTGCAAGTCGTCTTCTTTTTGTGTATTTGTCTTTTCTTTAGTGTATACAATTGCGAAATATTTTTAATGAATTTTTATTTCAATGCGTATCCTATTTAGGAAACGAAATATGAATTACTTTTTCTTCTTTACTATTATCATACTTTATCATCTAATAGAATACTGTATATATGCATTTGCTTTATATAGAATAATTTTCTGGTCTAATGATTTCATAATTTTTTTTTTATAAACATGACATAACATCTAACTAGAAACTTATTTTAATTTATTCTAAAAGTAAATTTTTGATCAAATCAATAATATATAATAATGATAGAATAACAAAAAACAAAAATAATTCAAGGTTGATAAATTATTGTTATGGTTTGTTCTATTTTAATACTTTTTTTGAAAAATTTCTCAAACAATTTATATTATCAATTGATAATAATAAATTTCGTTTTTTTTTTTTTTATCTTTGTATTTATTTTAAAATTAAAATACTATTTAATAAATAATTATTCTTAGTTATTTAAATTACATCTCAACTATTTATTTATTATGACAATTAACATCAAGGCTAAGTATACCATCAATAAATTGCTATTTTATTTTTAACCATTAGTTTATTATCTTTCATAGTTATTTAAATAACATTCATCGACTTGTTCTTTTTTTATTATTGTAAAACATTAGTTTTGAAGAAAAACAAAATTTAATAATACGTATATGAATAACAATCAGAGAATATAAATTTAGTCTAAATTCCCATTTTAAATAAAAAACTAATTAAAAAATGCAATTTTTCCTAAGTAAAGAAACGTAAATATCTAAGTAAACAAAATTTATTTGTACAGTTAATGTATTACTAAAGTTTTTGTTGTTTTTCATGGTCGTCTTCTTTCGTCCAGTAGTATATCTTTTGCTAATGAAGGTAGTTTGCAAAACTTTAACTGAATATTCAAATTAATAATATCTTTAAAGCAACTTAAACTACAGTAGAATCCGATTTTCTATTCTGATGAAGTCTGTGAATAAGGATGTTTTTTTTTGTAAAGAAGACTAACATTCTAAACCCACATCCTTATACGTACGAATTCAATTAAAATAAGTTCTCAGTAACTTTAATTTTAACGAAGATTTTTGTCGATATGAGTTCTGAATGTTAGTGAAAGTCTTCTTTTTACAAATATTCGTCTCATCACTTTACATTCACATTCTAAATTTGAAGTAAACTTTCAATAACAAATATTTATTGAACAACAAAATGAATGAGGATGAGAGGAAATCAAAAAAAATCTTGAAAGACCGATACAAACTACGTATAAAACAAATAGGAGATAGAAAAAAGAAATTATTTTATTGAAGCATCACTACAAAAAAGAATGTATGCATTCACGCATGATATCAAAATGAAAAATATAAGTGAAATATACATATATTACGGTGATAGTTCAATATTGGCTGAAGGAAAGAAAATGGAGGGTGTGGGTGTACCAATACGTAAGGAATGGCTCATCAAAGACTTTATATAATAAACTATATTCTTATTCGATTTATCTGTTTCAAAATAAGTAGAATAAAATAATTAACCTGTGATTGGCAACAGCAATAATATCGTGTTTTCACACTTGAATTCTGTGGAGATTGTTTCCTTTTTCAAAGTATCTTTTGTTTTTCGATGTTACGAAACTGTTTATAATAGCACTTTTTTTTTGTTTTTTCATTCGAAAAGTCAAATTTATGAATGAATATATACAAAACATTTTCATAGGCATAAAATGCTCTTTTCGTTGGCATAAACTTAATCAAATGTATTCGTAGGCAATAATTCATCTTTCATCTATATATGATTTATTGATAAATCAATCAAAGGTTATAAAAAAAATACGAGGAAAAGAAAAAAAAATTTCAAAAACTCAATCAATCGATTGATGAATTCTACGATATTTATCATATAGAATTTATATAATCTCTATGATTAGAATATGTATTAAAAGATATTGATATAAAGAATTTCAATCTATTTTAATTATGAAGATATAAATTATTACATAAAAAATTCAAAGAATTTTTTCATTGTTTTATTAAACATATTAAATAAAACAATACGCTCACATTCAATAACAATTCTATAGTATTGATTACATAGCAAAAATTAGTATCAAAAGTTAATATTTATATAAAAAAAAAATTAAAATTTACTCTTTATAAACGATTCATTAAATACAAAACAAAAGAAAAATTATTTTCATCTACATTATTTGTAAAAATATTCTTCGCAAACCATTTCTATAAATTTTATTTTTACTTGTATTTCTACAATGTAAAAGAAAAAACAGAAATTTAAAAATTCTCGAATAAAATAAATCGATACTTTCAAGAATTGAAAACATCAGTATAATCATCATAATTCTTTTCGTCAGTGTTTTATCCAGAGGGATGCCCGCCCCCGAAAATCGAGTTCGTCCCCTTGGAAATTCAAATCGCCCCTCCGGAGAAAAATTCCTGGATAAAACACTGCTTTTCGTACAATAGATAAAGTCTATTGTTTTTGATTTTTATCGATGAACTTCATAATAGTTTCATAAAAATACAAACGATATTTTAGTTTGGAAAAAAAAAGTTTAAAGAATTTTTTATTACGAATATTTTGTTGAATTTCATTAATTAACGTTTTTTTTTTTTTAAGACATACAAGGTCGAATATTCATCATTGAATAGAGCAATCTGAAGAACGTTCATTTGTATAAAATTCATCAGACATGATGATATTTTCTATATTGCTTTCGAACAGAGATACAAAATTCTGGTCTTGCATATCTTGAAAAACATTAATTATGACTGCACATTAATGAAATTCAACAAAATATTCGTAATAAAAAATTCTTTAAGCTTTTTTTTTCCAAAGAATAGTTTTACTAAAATATCGTTTACATTTTTATGAAACTATTATGAAGTTCATCCATAAAAATCAAAAACAATAGACTTTATCTATTGTACGAATATTTTTCTTTTTTTGCCAAGAAAAAGAAAATCATTTATGAGACCGTATTTTCAACATTTGTAAGTCAACTACATTGATATTCGAAGAAAAAAAAAAGATAATAAGAGTTATAATAATTATTTTTGATGTTTTCATTTTCTGAATTATATCGATATATTTTTGATATATAATTAAAATAAAATCATACGAATAAATTTTTTTTACTACAAATTCTATATGAAAAGAATATTACTTAAAAAGAACACTCTTTATAGATATTGATTATATTATTGACAGAAACAAGAAATCGATGTGACTAAGTGCATCTATATATTTATTTATTCTTCTATAGGTAAAGACCAATTGTCATAATCAATATATTTATTGAATAACGATGAAAAAAAAAAAACAGAGATAATATATATTTAGTAATGCATAAAACGAAAAAAAAAATTATGATTAGTTATTGTCATATGAATATATACATATATACGTATAAAAGCCTTGTGTTGTTTTTTTGTTTTCTTATCTTTATGTACGAATAGTATTAAAAAAAAAAACACAAACTCATATGAGCAAAAAAGAGTTCTACTAAACGTACATATCATTTATAATGTATATTAATAATTATGACAATAAACTTCTTTAGTTTATTTAAATTAGTAATAATTAGTGTTCATACAAAAATTAAAAGGTTGCTCAATTGAAATAGTAAAACTAGCCATTTTAGCCTATCAAAGAGTCAGATGTAACGGCGGGTGCAGGTGTAGGTGTTGTTGAGGCTAATGGTGTTGATCCTTGTATAGGAATAGTATTAAAAGAAGCAAAACCTATGATATAAGAAAACAAAATTAAAGAATATATACATATATATATATATAGAAAAAAATAATCTAATAATATTACGTTGACTGCTTATGCTTTCTACATTAAAGTTTTCAGTAAGAGGACCATAAAAGTCAAAACTTGATTGAAAACTTGTGCCAACTTTTTTGTTTAAATTTCCTAATTGACCACAAGATGCACATTTTGCTCTATTGATATCTACTACCATATATAATTTTGAATCAGTCTGACGACGATAACGAATTAATATTCTTTAAAAATAATATATAATTCAAGCAAAATTATAGTTTATCAAATTTATTTATACCGAGATTGTCGACGTCTACGTGAACCTGGTAAAGCAAATGTACATGAAATTGGTATTATTGTACCCGATGGAAAATGAAATGCACTATTCATCTAAAAAAACATATATTAGAAAAGTTTGAATTAAGAATGTGAAAATATTCTTTTTTTTTTTTTCATTTACCGATGTAGCTATTGCATAACATGCTGTTGATGATGTTTGACCATTTGGTGGAACATTTGGTGAAGGATTTAATCGAATATATTTCATGTTAGATGAAGGAATAACTTCAATAGCAAAATTATTTTCGAATCAATCTTTTTTTTTGTTCAAATATTTACTTGATAAAGTTTTTTTTGGCAAATAAACTGGAATAAGAGATAAAACAATTGTTGCAGCAGCTAAAAAAAGTATTGTACCAATACATAGAGCTGTTACTAATGTTGTAGTAGCTCCAGTTCGTCTACAAAAGATGAACAAATATGATGATGTTCGTTTTTTTGTTATTTTTACCCTGCAGCTGCTGTCGCAGCAGGTGCTTGTTCTCTAACAGGATCTACTGTTGAATACATGTATATGTTTGACGTTGATAAAGTATCTTGTTTGATAGATACTTCGAATGCAAAACTGATAATAATATTTTGTAGTTGGATATATAGCTTTTTTTTCTCTTATCCATTTCCTTTTTTCTTTTTGTCTTTCTTTATTTCAAAAAGAAGAAAAAACCTTCTAACTCAACTTTATGAAGGGTAAGTAACCATGACTAACAAGTCGAAGAATAAATGAAGGATAAGCTGTGTCATAATCTTGTTGATTTTTTATAGTGATATCATCGAATAATAATAATCATTCTTCTAAAATATGTAATATGATAATGTTTATTCTTAAATTAATCATTATGATGATGAATATCTATGATAAAAATAAAAAGGGTTAGAGAAAGACAAACAAAAAAACGAAAAGAGATATTCGAACGTAAAATAGCTACGAAAAAAAAAAAAATTTTTTTTATGAATATAATCATTCTTAGTCATATAAAACATAGTGGGATTTTTAACATAATAATGATAAAAAAAGGAAAAATTACAATAGTTTATATATTTATTACAAAAGTATTTGTTTCTGTCTATAGTTCATTATAAATTTTGTTCTATTAAAAAAACAAAATGATCAACATGAATTAAATAAAATTTAAATAAATTATATTTAAATTATTGAGAAATATTTATAATAATTTATAATTTTCTTATTGTTGACATTTTCAATGATTTTATTATAATTAAAATCTTTTCTTTTCTTTTTTGTTTTATGATTTAATCTATTCATTATTCATACAATATCATTGATATGTAATTGAAAAATAATCAAATATATAATAGTAAAGGTTATTAAAGGAAAAAAAAGCATTTTGATGTATATAAAAAAAAAAAAACCATTATCTATTTATCTTTCTTCATCGCAAAACTATAGTATAAAAAATTAAAAATTTTGATAATTTACTTTCTCACATATTAATAATAATATTATACACTATTATAATCGAATAAATTTTATCGTTACAAAAAAAAAACCTATCAAATCTTGAATTAATCTCTGATTAGATTATTTTATAGATATATTACAAATATCATATTTTGTCTATGTGATAGAAATGACAAAAAAAAGAAAACATTGTACAAGATTCTTAGCACTAGCGGATCTACCTGTTCGGCGAACCGGCCATCGCCCCCCTGAGAATTTCTTTTTTTTTCGTTTTTTCTCAGCAGAAATAAACATAAAGGCAGTTAAGTTGCTTCGAACAGGCTTTGAAAACCAGTTTTCAATATATTTAAATAATAAGAAACTTTATATAACTGTTTAATATGTTTAAAATCGATTTAATAAATAATAATTATTATTCATTTTTTTTAAGAGCGAGAAATTTATCAAGTTTAGAGTGAAAACATTTTTTGTTTTTGTCTCTTTTCAATATGTCACAAAAATATTATTTATTATTTTATTCAATTGTATGAAAAGGTGAAAACAATATACAAAACAAAACCATATAAAAGTAATTCTTTTATTCAATGATAAAATTGAATTAATTAATCATTTTGAAAATTAAATCTACTATATCTAATATATAATTAATAAATTTTTAATCTTTTTTTTTTCATGAAAATATATTTTTATATTTTTTTTCTTTATATCAACTAACCAAATAGTAATACTATAAGATAGTTTATACTTTAGTGATTAAACAATACTGAAGGGCAAATATTGTTTTGAAATAAATAAATAAAAAAAAAAACATGACAGTATATTTGGGGACAAAATACTATTATTCATATCTCATCGGTATTAGTCATAAAATAAGGTAGTCCAGATATTTTCAAACATATACATATTGTCATCATCAGTGAACATAGAGAATGTACTTATAAAGCAATAAGAAATTATTGTTTCTTCTAATAGTACTTGATTTCAATGATTAAAGTTTGATGGACAATGCAAGAACTTTCGATCTTTATATTGATTCATCTATGATATGTACTAAATGAGGAAAAAGAAAAACGAAACTTCAAATAATTTGTACTAAGAATGGTATATTGTCCTTGATATGTATTTCGTAAGTACTAAGACCTTGTTTTTTCTTCAGTTAGTATGCAATGTACATCAATCATTATAGAAATGAATCGAAATATATTTTATTTTATATATATGCCTATACTTTTTTATTATGTTAATCAAACATATCTTTATTAAAAACAGTTGATATCATATGATTGAAAAAACACAAATATATTCATAATTGAAAGAATATGGTTATTAGTCATCTCCTGTTTAATGATCATTTCACAAAAAAAAATCCAAATATAAATCCAAATCAAACAATTATATTAAATAAAATTAATATAAATTGATACATATAGAATAAATTTTCATAATGAATCAATGTACAAAAGATTTTAATTTTTTGTATTTTACTCATAGATACGAAATTGATATTGAATATATTTGTATATCGATATTCATATAGTTATTTTTGATTTAGATAATTAATGAAAATTATCTATGAACTGATTCATATATATATATATATATTATTCTTACTTGATAATAGATAAAAATTAGCAAATAGAAGTAAAAATATTTTCAATTTTTCATAACTCAAAATAAAATAAAATCGACACAGAAAATGTATTAAGTATAGATGAGATTAAATTTATCAAATCTAAAACATTCATATGATTTTATGACACATGTTGAATTACAAAACAAGATATAAAACATTTTTATTTACAAAAGAAAAAAAAATTATATACAAGTGGTTTGTATGTAAATAATAAAAAAAAACCACAAATATGATTTATGATTAATGAACTACTATTATTTTTCTTTTCTTAATCATATTACTATCAAAAATGTAATGTTTCTTTAGTTTCGTTAGAGAAAAAAATAATATATATTTAGTCAATATCGATCGATAAGATAAAAAAAATAATCTTATCTTTTTTTTTTCATCTTGCATTTTGAAAATCGAATACTACTTTGATAAATGTTCGTGGTTATTTGAATGACATTCATCTAATCATTCTCGAGATTGAAAGGATACGATCTACAAATGAAAATTTACCTGTATATTTCTTTGTAACATAGTTACTATCAGGGTTGTCGATTGTTTTTAGGAGTGAGGGGGGGCTAAAATTTTCGCAGACAATGTTCTTATTTTTCTGGCATGAAAATTGTTGACCGAGGGGGGAAGACGACATCAATTTTCACTAGGTCGTACCGTACCCCCCTCGGGCTTCCATACAATCGGTCGTTTCTCCCAGCAACCGTAAAAAATTGGCAGACAGTATTAAAACTTTTCGCAGACACACGGACAATTTTGGGGGGATATTCCTCCTAATCGGAAAGCCTGGTTACTATATGTATCAACTATGATATGAATGACTAAGAGAAAAGAATATTTTTGTATTTGTGTTCAAATTATCCGTGAAATTAATATCGTAGGACTAAAAATATGAAATTTATCAATACTATGAAATAATTCAGTGTTTCATAATGTATATATGAAGATGGATGAGATGTACTCATCAGCAACAAAATTTAGAGGATAAGTTTGAATAAAAGATTATGTTAAACTAAAATCATACTATTTGAATAATATAATAGTATGATAAGAATTTATTTCTTTTTTTTTGTCATAGAAATATCTGATTGTAAATAATATAATACTAATTTTTTTATGTTATCTTTATGAATCTTGATTTTTTTTGTTTTTTGAAAGATGCGCCGTAAATAATATCTATACGAATGTTTATGAATATGAAGAATAAAATATTTAGTCGTCTGATGTAATTCGGATCAGTAAAAAAACAAAAATCGTTGTATTTCAGCTATAACTCAACAATTTTACATTTGACAAAAAAGATTTTTTTACCAACAGAGAGCTCAGAGTGTTTTCTATCAAACCATGTAAAAATATTTTTAAAAAAATGACGAGAGCCCTAAAAAAATGATCCGAATTACACTAGATGGGGTAATTCGGATCACACCAGCAGTTTTAGCTGAAGAGAACTTGCAAAACCTTTAGCACTTTTCAAGTTGGTTTTCATGAGTTGAGTTTGACACAAAAAATGTTTCGCCTCACTTTACTCTATCTATCCGTGTAAAATGAAAAAAAAAAAATTAACTGATCTGATCGATTACCGTTTGAAAATGAGAAAACACAAGAAAAGAACATTTTTTTCAACTCATCCTTTATATCTTTAATTTGTTTTTTTCATTTTTACGAAAATTCTCATGAAAAAAAAAAGTTTGACTTTTCTGGTACAAAAATATTGCCGCTACAAAGCTATGAGAAAATAAAAATCATATGATTAATTTTTGAGAAACTAAATGGCTATTAATCGAAATTGACTTACATTTTAGTAAGTCTAAATTTTATTTTTTCAATTTTTGAAGTACAACATCAAATTATTACATAATAATGAGAGTTAATCTTAAACATATTAAGAGTACTTCGGCTTGGTAGTATGAATGCTGATCTTGTCGCGGTTCAAAACCGAACGCATACCTCAACTATTTAGATTGCGTCGTTTGTAGGTCGATTATTTTTTCGTGGATTTCACGTATATTTTCGAGGAAAATACCAAGTGGAAGATTTGCGGCTCCCTCCTCCTCCGTTTATACACACTTAGAAAAGCAGGTCTCGATTACAGACTGAAGCAATCCATAATAGCATATGTTCAAATTTCTAGAGTTCTTTTGAAAAATTGATAAAGTTACTATTTCGAACAATAAGGAATATCATTGTTTAAGAGTTGATTAATGCTTAACAATTCGCAAGATCTACTATAGATATCATGAAGTTGTGAAACAAACTTATTCACCTAATAATTCAATGGTTCTAAAATAAGAATGTTAAATTTGCACAAACGAATAGAAATAAAGAAAAAGTAATGAGCAAATGTTAGAATGCGAACAGAAAACAGAACATTCGTAGAAGAAAAAGCTTCAATTCGGAAAACTCAAATGAAAAAGATCCTGACTCTGATTATCGATTAACCTGAAAAAGAATTATAGTCTACAAGAGATTTTTTGTTTCACATATTTTGTATTAGTTTCACTAGTCCAGACAATATATGTGATTTCCACATTTCAGTCTGAAAGCAGATGCGCTGACAAACTTTTTCTTTTCTTAGATATCATTCAGAAAAACGCACTCGGATTCATGCGGACTGATAACATAACTATGATTGTGTTCATGAAATCTCAATATTTCTCCTATTATTTGGTAGGTTCTTAATATTTTTAAAATTAACTCTCATTATTATGTAATAATTTGGTTTTGTGCTTCAAAAATTGAAAAAATACAAAATTTAGAGATATTAAAATGTAAGTCAATTTCGATTAATAGCCATTTAGTTTCTCAAAAATTAATCATATGATTTTTATTTTTTCATAGCTTTGTAGCGGCAATATTTTTGTACCAGAAAAGTCAAATTTTTTTTTCATGAGAATTTTCGTAAAAATGCAAAAAAACAAATTAAAGATATAAAGAATGAGTTGAAAAAAATGTTCTTTTCTTGTTTTTTCTCATTTTCAACGGTAATCGATCAGATCAGTTAATTTTTTTTTCTCATTTTACATGGATAGATAGAGTAAAGTGAGGCGAAACATTTTTTGTGTCAAACTCAACTCATGAAAACCAACTTGAAAAGTGCTAAAGGTTTTGCAAGTTCTCTTCAGCTAAAATTGCTTGGATGGTCCGAATTACCCAAGTACATTTTGGTTGAGTGATCTGAATTACATCAGAAAGAAAAGAAAAAGAAAATTGTTTTTCTTTAGTAGATCTTATTGTGATGAGAATTTCATTTCAACGGTTCAATGAATCGACGAGATTTTTTCAGGTCCCATAGAAAATACTTTGAGCTATCGCTTGGTATATTTTTTAATTAATTATTAATTAACAGGAAGATGGGAAAGTTAGATTCTATTGATTTCGCTGAAGTGATCCGAATTTTCTTTGCCTTCTATAAAATGTTTTATGTACATAATATAAATTTCTATTAGCAATTCAGTCAATGGCTAAAGGACAAAAACCAGTGTTCGACATTGATTTAATTCTTTGACACTGAAGCAACAGTCTGATATCGATCATTCTTCTATTGTTCTTGAGAAAATCAATATTTCAATCCTTGTTTTTTTTTCTTTTGTCTTCCGTTCATTTCAAAGTTTAGACAATCTGATTATGTCATATTGTTTGATGTCAATAAAGAAAAGTCAGTGAAAAACAATGTATAAGTTCTTGTTCTACTAAGCTTTGCTACGCTCTCTTTCTTAGAACTTTTTAAAAGCAAAAAAAAAAAAGAAGAGTTTCGTTAGTTATTATAATATGCAAGTATCCATATACAAAATCTTTATATTGTTTTTATTTTTCTTATTTCAATGTATTAATTATGTGAAAATAATTAGATAAGAAAACAAAAAAAAAATCTAATTAAATCTGTATAGCATATAACTATGAGAATTAATAATTAGTATTTTCATGAAAAGAAATCAAAAAATTTCTTCAAATTTAAATATTGAAATTATTTATTTTAAAAGTTAAGATTAGATAAAAATGATAAACTATTATTGTAGCCATCAGTAGATAGAATACCAAAATCTATTATATGGAAAAAAAAAAAAGTTCAAGAATATATATATATACAAACTAAAAATCTAATAAAAATTACCATTATTACTCATACTTTCTACAATAAATGTTATTGTACGATTACCATAATAATCGAATTGTACTGTAAATTTTAGACCAATTAATTTCTTTAAATTTGTTAGTAAACGACAAATTAAACAATTATCATAATTCATCATCACTTCCATAAACATTTTTCCATTTCGAATTTGATGACTAGCACGATTCATTGGTCTTAAAAAAAACAAAACTTAATTTTTCGATTTCATCTATTTATATATTCATACCGTGATCGTCGACGTCTACTTGATCCTAACACTGCACTTCTACATGAAAGTGGTTTTAGTACACTCGAAGGAAGACTAGCTGCATCAATCAACTGACAAAAAAAAATACATTTGTTCGAGATTTAACTTTAGATGATAAACAATTTATTTTTAAAAAATTGTCTCACCTTGTTTGCTATTCTATTACATGCAATTGTTGATGTTTGACCAAGTGCCGGAAGATTTTCTTGTGGATTTAATACAAGATATTTATTTTCAATTGAAAAAGAATCTTCAATAGAAAAAATTTTTGTTTTTGATAAATTCAAGTATCTTTCTACTTACTTGCTATATTATTTTTCATTAAATACATTGGAATAAGAGTTAAGATAATTGCCGAAGTAAATAATAAAAGTAGTATACAAAAAATACAGATACTACTTAATGGTAGAATAATTGTAGCTTTACTATACATATGAAAAAATTTTGATTTTAATCAAATAACAAACAAAGTAAAAAAAAAAATTTAATTTACTTTTTTGCCACTTTATCAATATGTACTTGTAATGATGTCATTTATATGTTTGAGATATGTAGACTATGTCAGATGTATGAATATGAAAGTAATCTGCTCTTCAATATATATATATATTCTCTTTTTTTTTTTTGTTCTTACTTATTTTAACAAAAAAAAAACAAAAATTTCTTTTGAAGTATCATTTTGTAAGCATGACTATAAATAAAGCAATTGATAAAGGATTTAAAAAAAAAACTCCTCCATAGTCTGTCTGCTTAAGTGATCAATATTAACATGAGATATTCAACATCCTTGAAATGTCTAATAGGAGAATTTGTCTTTTAATATTTGTCTTTAACATAATTAAAATGAGACTAATAGAGAAAGAATAAAAAAAAAAGAAAAATACGTAACTCTTTTTGAACAAGTGATGTGTAAACATGTATATTTAAAAAAATGTATAGCTTAGACTTTTTAAGGAAATATACACTTGTATACAATGTTATAGACATTTCATTATAATTACGATAGAATGAAACAAAAAAAAAAGTATGACTTTGTATGTTTATTATTAGAACACAAATCTCTACGTTTGTTTTCAAATAAATCTTTGATATTAAACAATATTAAAAAACATTCATTCGAAAGAAAAGTTATCATAATTTATTAATATTAAGACTTTTATATTCAAGGTTGAAGAATGATTTTCATATAAATAAGATTTTCGATCAAATCTTAAATAATATTTCATAACATATTTGAGGAAAAATATTGAAATGAAAACACAATATACTCGTTCCATTGAATAGTTCAACAATGAGTAAAAATTTTAATATAAAACAAATAGATTTCTATAACACGATATAAATTTAATCAATAATTGCTCCATGAAAACTTGATTATGATTCTTCTTTTTTTTTCTATAACAATGATAACAAGTTTAATAATTTTAATGAAAAATGTTAGTTAAAAAGTTTAATGTTCTAAAACAAAAACTAAGAAATTGAATTAAGTGTTGCAAAAAAAAATAGAATAATTTTATCATGTTTCGAAAAAAACATATTTCTTATATCATATTTAATTGTGATGAAGTTAATTTCATTAAAATTTGAATTATTCATAAAATACAATTTTTTCTCTTCTAAATATAGAAATTTTGATGAAATACTTTTCCTTTTAAATAAATTTCTTGTTTTTTGTCTTCTTTTCACTCTAGTCCTTATATTTTAATGATATCGATGGTAAAGTTCTGAGAGAGAGAGTTTCTTTGTTGTTTTTTTTCATTAATCTCTTGTTTTTACAGTCTCACACTTATCTATCCTTTACAAAATGATACTTCAGCAAAAAAAAAATTGTTATGTTGTTGAAATGAATAGAAATGCGGAAAATATCATTATCTAATTTAAAACAAACTATTCGACATATCCTCAAGCATATACATGTTATCATCACTAATGATTATAGGCAACACACTCTAGCGAAGCAATAAAGATCGATTAAATAGTTTTATATCATTGATGAAATACAAAATATTACTCTTTTTCGTTCTTATCATTTTACAAAAACATCAGAAAACTTTATGACAAAGAAAATACAAATGAAAAAATTCTATTTAATCAAACTAATAATGTAACATTAGTACCCAGTAACTTGACTATGTGAATGTACTTGTTAATCTTCTTGACATCTTCATTTACAGTCAAAGAAATCTATTCAGCTTCTTTTAATTTTATATTGAATTCATTTTTGCAAGTATTTAATAAATAAATTTCTATCGAAAAAACAAAAAAAAATAAGAATTATTCATTTAAAAAAATTGATTACTTCCTTTAGAAATTTTAATTTATGTCGTCTAGATGCAAATGACTACTAAAAATATTATCATTAATGATAAATAAAATATTTTTATTTTTTGTTAATGATTGATTTAGTCTAGAGTAAAATTATGAGAAAAGAATAACATCACAATTAATTAATGATTAAACTTTCCAAGAAGACAAGTAATAAAATGAGAAAACCAATGTTTAAATAGTGTGGTATATTCTTGAAAATACGTTATCACTATTTGAAACAGATATAATAAGAAGAAAAAACAACACAGTGAAAATAAATGAATTTATTTATTGCAAAAAAAAAAAAAGTCTTAATTGGTGTGCTTATTGAATAATAATGAGAAAAAAGTAAAAACTAATATGTTTACTAATACATGAAATAAGAAGCAAAAAAGAAAGAAAAAAGCTTCGTTAGTTATTATCATATGAATATGTATGTATACAAAATCTTTGTGTTGCTTTTGTTTTCTCATACTCACGTACAAATATAAATAAAAATAATCATGTTAGAAAAAAAAAAACAAAACTTCTAACTAAAAGTGTATAGAATTTTGTATGATAATTAGTATTTATCACAACTACGTTTGTTTGATTAGTAATAGTATTTTTATGAGAAATGAAAAAAAATCGAAAATTTCTTCAGTTTAAATATTAAAATTATTCACTTTAATAAAGTTTAGAAGTCAAATACAACTGCCAACTATGATCAAGTTGTAGTAGTAGAAGTAGTAGTAGTAGTTGTTGTTGTTGTTGTAGCATCAGTAGATAGACTACCGAAAGCTATAATATTTAAAAATAAAATTAAAGAATTATCTTATAGAAAAAAAATAATTTTATAATATTACGTGTATCACTTATACTTGCTACAGTAAAAGTTACACTACGAGAACCATAATAAATAAAATCTGCTGTAAATGTTATACCAAGTAATTTTTTTAAATATGATGATAAACGACAACGTTGACATTTATCATAGTTTATTACTGCTTGCATAAAAAGTTTTCCACTTCGACTTTGACGACGACTACGACTCAGCCATCTTTTAAAATAATATTTAAATAAAATTAATCTATTCGATTTATATATACTTAGATCGTCGACGTCGTCTTGATCCTACAGCAAATGAACATGAAGATGAAGTAATAGAACCTGATGGATAACCAATTGCACTTGCCATCTGAGACAAAAAAAAAAACAATACATTGAACGAATTTTATATTAAGATCATAATAAAAAAAATTTTTTTTTTTTGTCTGTCTTTCACCTTGCTAGCTATTGCATTACATGCACTTGATGATGCTGTACCATATGCTGGAACATATTGTTGTGGATTTAATATAATATATTTTGTTTTTGTTGAAGGAAGATCTTCAATTTTCAAGAATCACGAATTTTTTTTTTTTTGTCAAATATATCTTTCTACTTACTTGATAGGTCTTTCTTCGGGAGATAGACTGGAATGAGAGCTAAAATAATTGTTGCAGCAAGTAAGAAAAATAGTACACAAAGACAGCAAATGGCAGCTAGTGGTAAAGCAGCCGAAGCTCCTCTATTTTACATACACACATGAACAAACAAAATATTAATAAAAATCTAAACAAAATTATATTATACTTTCGAGCGGCTTTATCAGCAGTCACTGGTGGTGGTAACATATATATGATTAAAGTATGCGGGCTACTTTCTTTTATTGTTAATGCTTATATGCAATTAATGATTGTAATGTATACTTGAATTTATATTCGCTTTTTTTTTCTCGTCCTCTGTCTTTTCTTTTTTTTGTCTGTATTTATTGTAAAAAAAAAAAAATAATAATATCACATTGCTGTTTAATTGATGAAACATTAAAAATATATGAATTGTCCTCGAAATATACAATAAGACAATGTTTATTTGAAAGTTAGTTTTGATTGCAATAAAATTGCATAATTAAAATAAGAGAAATAGTGAAAATAATTAGCAATCTATTGATAAGAATGATATTTAAATAAGCGTGACGATGACGCATAGGTAAAAAAAAAGAAATTAATCTAGAAGAAAATGTATACTTATGTAAAATATTCTGCTTATTTTATCATAATTAAAACAAAATGAAAAAAAAATAAAAACCACATGATTTTGTATGTTTATTGGTGATGTACATTATTTTTTGCAATATTTATTTTGAATTAAATTTTTGTTACTAAAAAGAAAAAAATCAATAATCAATATGGACATTGAAATTTCAAATTCGTTACATTTAAATACTGAAATTATATATATAGATTGAACAATATTAAACGTTCATTCAAACAGAAAATTTTTCTAAATATGGTAATTATTATTTTTTAATGTAAGATTATTATATTATAGATTGAAATGGTTTTAATATAAGTAAGATTTGATTTCAAATTATTTTAATATGTTCATTATTGAAAGGTGTGTATAAATATCGTTGCTATACGATCGACCGACAATAAAATACATGTCTTTAAACAAAATATGTTTCGATCTATGTCATTGAGATTATCGTCAAAAAGAAATGGATGTGATGATCAACAAACAACAAATTAAAATATGTTTCACTCGTTTATTTTTCTTCATCGCGTAATAATAATAAAAAAATCGAAAAAATTAATTTAATTTATCACACATCTATGGTTTATGATATGTCTTTCGGATTATCATAATATTTTCATTTGTTTGATGGATGAATTAGAAATGTATGTCAAAATACTGCACGAAAATTTACAAGATTCTTCAATAAATAAATCAATGTTTAAACAATATTTCAATATGTTTCGGGGAAAAAAATATAGAGACGAAAACGTTACATAATCCTTTCATAGAATGTAACAAAAATGGTTAAAAGAAATTCGTCTGAGTATAAATATATTTTGATACAGTATTGATGATTTGATGAATTTTTAATATAAAAGAAATATCGATTGTTATACATATGAAAAAAAGACTTAATCACTAATTGCTCATTGAGACTTCGTTATAATTCTCCTTTTTTATTTAAGCAGTGACAAATGTAAAAATAAAATTATATTCTGTAACATAATTAGAAAATGAAAAATATTACATGTTTGCTTTATAGTTAGAGTCAAGAAGTTTAATATACTAGAATAATGATTACTGTCCATTTCAAAATAAAAGGTACCTCACTATTTTTCAAATAACTGTTGATAGAAATAAGATAGAGAGCTGTGGTTTTCATCATGCGAAAGAGCAATGTCGATCTGTATGAAGCTCATTAAGACGAAATTTGCGTTTTTTATTGGTGCTTTTGGATCAACATTTTTTCCTTTGAATATTTTGACAATAATCTCAACTGAAATGATGTCAAAATGTAGCTCAAATCATCTTTTTTTTCGCCATAAAATGATCACATATTTCAGGATCTCTCAACCTTCTATTCTAAGCGGATTTCAAAAAAACAAATGTTAATTTTATAGCAAAAAAAGGACGATTTGAGCTACATTTTAACATAATCTGAGTTGAGATTATTGTCAAAATATTCAAAGGAAAAAATGTTGAGCCAAAAGTACCTATAAAAAAAGCAAGTTTCATCTTAATGAGTTTTATACCGATCGACGGCCCGAACATTGCTCTTTCGAATGGTCAAAACCGCAGCTCTCTCTCTTGTTCCTATTTTAGATGATGTTGATGAAATCATTGAAACAAATCAGTAACACTCATCTTTTTCAGATGTTTAATATCATTAATGTTGTATTTGTTAATCATAATTAAATGTTGTATTGAAAAATAAAATACAGATACCTACAAATCACTTTAAAGAGTGATTTAAAAGTATATATATTTGAGATCAACTGGCTCAGTTTATATCACCGGCCACCATCTAAAAAGTATTGATCAATTTTGAATATAAAAACTTTAGAAATACTGAGGTTTTATCAATACTCGAAACAGAGAAAATATGTGAATCTTTTTCTAATAAAAATAATCTGCTGTTATTTCGTGAAAGATAATAGTAGGGTGTGGATGTGGGTATGCGTGTTAGCTTTGCCAAGTGCCACATCCACACCAGCTTAGGAACCTGAAATCTACCTTAAGACACACATGAATTTTGTACAATGTTGTTGTGATTCCAAGATCTCCCTGATGTTCCACCTGACTTCATACAACTTTCAGAATTTTCTAGACTATTCCTGAATATTCACGACTTTTCCTCAAATGATTGAAATATCAAGGACTTTTACAAGTTTATGTCTGACTTCATTGAGTTCTCTGAACTTCTATGTCTTGTTTTTGTATACTAGAGTTTCTGCTATATTCTCTGATGTCTTCGAAATATTTACAGCGCTTTCGTGAAATTTTTCCACCATTGGAGTTTCAAAAATATTGCATGTCGAATTGCAAGTCATTCTGCTTCTACTTCTCGATGGATATATTTGACATATTTCTACTCTTATCAAAAAAGATCCAGATAACTAAACGAACGCTACATACATCGCAAATGTCTCTAATGAGTCTGTATATGCATATGCTACACTCGAAATTTATATATCAAAATAACATAAAACATGCATTCAAATGAGAGCGAAACTTTTGTCACTCACTGATACGATTTTCAGAGAATCCACAGCTAGCTTTTCTATAGAATTTCAAATCAACGACTGATTAGAGAAAAGAATCTCTGAAAAAAATCTCCACTTCATTCCATTTCATATTGCAACACGATGTCTCACTTCGCTTAAAAATCAACTATTACATGTTGAATTCTCATTGGTCTACTGCTGCAATATAGATATCAACTTTAATGTGATCCAGATGATATATTTCATAAATCAACGCGCTATTCGGTAATTCCAAGATGAGTTGAAATAGATGTGTCGATTCAAAGGGCGATTTATGTTGTGAAAAAGGGAGTAGCATGTTTGAATGAAGTTTGGAGTAGATTGGTGACGATCGGTAGATTTCGGAATGTGGTTGAAATGTTTTTTTAAATAATATATTTCTCGTTTAAGACTGAGTGTGGCACACTTTAAATTAGTTATCTTGTTTGGGCAGTGGTAACATAAAGTCTATCCTCTGTCGTATAGAATTGAGTATTTCGAGTGAATACCTCTCACGGAGATGAGTTCATTATATGGATTCTTTGACGAAACAGTGAAAGATTTACTGTCGATGTTTTATACCTTTAATATTAATGGCTTGTTTTGTAAGGTTGGGAAGAAGAATATGTAAATCAGTAGAGTTACTGAGTAGGCTGACTTTGATAGCATTGATTTTGTTTTCTTGTATGACTGTAATAGCTGTTTTTATGTTTTAGAGAGAAACAATATCTAAGGTAGTAACTTCTATGTGTTACTTTTCACTACTTGCTCATAGGATATGTGAATGCATAAAAATGTTTAATAAGAATTATTTGGTTGTCGCTTTCCTGTTATATTTCTTAGATGTTTCAAATGAACAGGAAAAGTTTATAATCGATACTATTCTGACGTATGAGAGAAAGAAACCTTTGGTTGGATATCTGCACAGGCATGTCAATTGTCGATAAAATATAAGTGAAGCATATAGTTACTATATAACATTCAATATTCGTGTATATTTCTTAGCATATTAAACGGCAAGCAGAAGATTATCACTTTGCGGTACGAATAGCTTTTGATAACAAATTCCAGGCTAACACCTAAAGACGGTCCCTATAGAATTTATTAGTAATTTCTACTTTCGTTTTGTTTGAATGAATAGAAAAGTCACAGTATCTTTACCATTTAAGACGTATGTATAACGCACAGCTAGGCACCTCAATTCATCTTCATTCAACTAATGAAATGTTGACAAATAATTCTTCAATCGAATTTCATTCAATTCATAGAACTGACGAAGTACTTCGCGATTCAATTGAACTCATGAATTGAATTGAATTCAGGTGACCTGACCGATTTTGAATTGAATGATACAGCTGTGATCTCGAGAAGTTCAGCATATGATGTTTGGCTAATCGATATTCAAAGAAAATGATCACTATATACCTATAACCTATATAGATAGAAATATATATGGGTTCATTTATGATATACAAACGTAAACTAGATATACACAATATGTAGACGATGAAAGAAAAAAACTGATAGCATTATGCGAATAAAAAAGCAAAGTATACGGACACAAGCATGATTCAGACATTTTTAAGTAAGAATCTAACAAAATATTATAGGAAAAAGCAGATCACTTTATTTTTAATGAGGTTGGATTTTGTGAATTCATCGTTTTATAAAAACTATATGAAGTTTGATGTTTAAATTGACTTGAATCTACAGATTTTGAAAACTTTTTTGAATTCAATTGAAATCAATTCACCTCATGAATTGAATAGATTGTTTTTTGAATTATTTTGAACAGCTTTCGTACAATAGAAAACGATTATAGTGGATTCAGCAACAAGAAACTGGTCAATTGCACGAACATATTTATGACTTTTTTCGATCAAGACTTCGTCAGCTCGATTTCGACTACATACAACAGGAAAACATGTTGATTTCATAAGAATACATGCCCACTCGCTCTAAAATCAGTCCATTCTCATTGACAATAACTACGATTACTGGTTTGGTCCGGTTGAACTTTTCAAACTGCTTGCCTTTCATCGGTTTTTTGCCGCTTGCTTATTACTTTTTAAAGTATCAAAGTTAGTATATTT